ATGTGGCCATTAAAAATAATATTTATTTCTACCAGAAAACGAGAAGCGTGGGATACAACACATGAGCATTTACCATGAGCCTGGCACTGTAATAATCACTTAAAACATATTATCCAATTTAATCCACAAATCAACCATCTGAAGTGGGTTCTCTTATGATTTGCATTTTACAAAAACACTGCAGCACAGAGATGTCATAGCTAGTTAATGGCAGAGTGCATATTTGAATCCAGAAGGCCTAAGCTTTTTTGCTTGACCACCATGTATACATTAAAAATAAAAATGACTGGCAGGATATTCAGCTATCCTAGGTCATGAGATTACAGGTGAAGTTTTTTTCTACTTTCAGTTTTTCTGTACATATTCCTCCATCTTATTTTTTTTAATCTCCATTTTCTCCTACCTCCAATCCCTGATAATCTCTAATCTACTTTCTGTTTCTATGAATTTTCCCATTCTGGACATTTTATATAAGTGGACTCATACACTATTTGTCCTTTCATGTCTGGTTTATTTCACTTAGCATAATGTTTCAAGGTTCCTCAATGTTGTGCACATATTCACGTGGAATAGTATTCCATTGTAGGGATATACTATGATTTATTTATCCATTCATCTATTGATGATCATTTGGATTATTTCTACCCTTTGGCTATTGTGAATAATGCTGTTATGAATATTTGTGTACAAGTACCTGAGTTCCTGTTTTCAAATCTTTTGGTTAAATGCCTAGGAGTAGAATTGCTGGGTCAAATGATAATTCTATGTTTAACATTTTGAGGAACTACCAAACTGTTTTTCCATAGCAGCTACACCATTTTATATTCCCATCACAATGTATAAGAGTTCTCATTTCTCCACATCTTCATCAACGCTTGTAATTTTCTTTTTTTATTATAGTTATCCTAGGTGTGAATGGTGTGTCATTATAGTTTTGATTTGCATTTCCCTAATGACTAATAATGTAGAGCATATTTTTATATGCTTATTTTCAATTCATTTATCTTTTTTGGAGAAATGTCTATTCAAGTCCTTTGGCTATTTTTTTGTTTGGGTTGCTTATCTTTTTGTTGTTGAGTTGTAGGAGTTCTTCATATATTTTGGATATTAAACTCTTATCAGATATATGATTTGCAAATATATTCTCCCATTCTGCTTCACTCTCTTGATAGTGTTCTTTGATGCACAAAGTTTTAATTTTAATGAAGTCGAATTTTTTATTTATTTTAAATCAGAAAAATAAAAAATTATGTTTATGAACAATTTTTAATGATATGGGTAAAACAGAAGCCAAAACTATACATATATGCTGTAGCTATATAAAGCAGTTGTACACATATGATCTATGTAAAAATAAGTGGTAGTTAGACAATCTGGGAGGATTAAGTATTCCAGGAAGACTGAGAAACAGGTCAGTACAGAGAGAATTACTATGCTGTCCTCTGTCACTCAGGTTGAACTTAGGAACGGCTGCTTTGTCTCTTTCTTCCCTGCAGCAGCTTTCTAAAAAGAGGCACGCCTGCTGCTCTAAAGGGCCTGAGCCCTGAACATTGAGCTTCCTGTAGCACCCAGGCCTGGTTTGCAGAGCTTCAAACCAGTCTATGGCTGTGAATAACTCAGAAAAGACCGAAAGAGTGGAATAGAAAAGAGAGAAGTCCCTTTTTTTCTTTCAAATGATAAGCCTCCAAAACAGAAAGGAACTTCAAATGCAGCCATATGGATTTAGGGTAGACAGCTGGTAGAACCCGATAATAAGGCATGGCAGACAGCTCCCAGGAAGCTTTTAGAATGCCGTGGTTTCTAGGTCCCATTCCTGCCCCCACAGAACGACACTGTTTCAGAAAAGAACTGAAAGGAAATGCTCTGTGATTGCAGTATTCCCTCCTGTGCCCCATGGGGCATGGGATACCTCTGTCTCCCGCAGGTGCAACACCAGTGGTCTGCTGAGAACAAATAAGGTTTTCTTCGCGGGGCACTGGGAGCCCTGTAGAGAAAGTTTGAGACATGGTGTCCTAAATGTTAGACGGGGAAGGGGCCTGAGAAACCTTCTACTCCACCCCCCTAAATTAGTCAATGTTGGGGCATTGGGGGAGTCCATAGATAGCCCTCTTCCTCACCCAAGTCTGAACCACCTGAGAAATCAGACATAGAAAACCAGCAGATGCAGATCAAAATGTCAGCTTTGTGACTGATAAGAGCTAGACTGGAGGATATGGCTTAGATCTGAGGGCAAATGGTCTTGCTTACACTGTTCCCAAAATACGTTTACCACTGAGGTCCAGGCAGGGCTGGAAAAACTGCAGGCCTCATCTTATGGGGATCTGTCTCCATAAAACTTATAGCACATAGAGGAACACAAAATAACTGCCCCTTTAGGTCACACCGGCTCCACC